GGAGCTGCTCAGGGAGGACATCAAACTCCAGAGAGAGACAGAGGAGAGAAGAGCACAGGAGAGCAAGGAGAGAATGGAGGGACTGTTTTCTCTTCTTGAGAGAATGCTTAACAAATACATTATTATAACCATTTTCTATTAGGCAAGGGAAAGCAGTGGAAAAAATGGGTACATTACAGTTTTTCTATATCTTTTTTTAAATGTCACATTATCAATGAAACAGCCTATTTTCTGTAGTTTATTTTTGTGATGTAAGTTAAAAATGAAATAGCTTGTATACATTATTCATTTTTGTAGTGTAATTTATTTGTAAAAAGTACTTTCTGTACATTTTGTATTTTTGTTTTGCATATTCACATGTGTAAATAAAAGAGAAGTAATTATGTACATTGTTAATTTTTTTAATGCAGCTTATAATTTTTTCACAAAACATTCTTCTATGTTTTTTTGTCCTGTAAATATTGTTTTTTACACATTAAAACAAATTGTTCTATACATTACTGAAAGTACTTTTTACAACTATTTACAACATACTATTTACAACATAGCTTAGGCTTAACATCAGAAAAAACAACATCAGTTTTGAGCCCAGCCCTGCCTGCATGTGTTCTGCTGTCTTCAGGAGGTGAATCTCTTGATGAATGGCCAGCACCTCTTCAGCGACTCGGAGGATAATGCGGTGACAGTGGAACGAGGCATGTCAAACACTCTGGATACCACTGGCCAGACAGAAAAGAAACACCAGGGTCTGGATTGTGGCACCCCATCACTGTTGCCGTTCACTTCTCAGAAGATCCAGCAGCACTGTCAGGGCCTCCCTGCTCAGCCAAAAACTGTTACAAACCTGTCCAGCGCTGGCACATTCAGCTTTATCCTGCAGTACAGGGGTCTGGTCTGATTTAGGGAAAGAAGGAAAAGAGAAATTGTTTTGAACTATGACAACGTAATTAGTAGAAGAAATATTGAGATACTTTAGTAAACTACTTTTAGTAACTACTAATACCACATTGGGGAAAAACTACTAGTCATATTTAAAACCTTAGCTAAAGGGGTAGTTGACCCAAAAATGAAAATTCCAAACCTGGAACAAC